TCCTCCTCCTCCCTCCTCCTCCAGGCGGCAAAGCAGCTCCAGGCGGCCGAACCCCGCCCTCTCCGGGCCCCCGGAGGCCCGCGTTTTCCGGCCCCGGGGCCGCGGAGACGAGGGGAAGAGCGGCATGAGAGAAGGGGCCGAGAGGTCCGGGGGCGCCCGATGACGACGGGCCCGGCCCCCCATCGTCGCCGTGGCTTTTCCATGGCGCCCAGATAGCGCGCGCGATAAGTGCGAGAAGGCGCCTCGGGAAGGCGCTATTCCCATCGGCGCCGCGCGCGACCTGTACGCGCGCGGCGCGCTGCGACGAGGTCCCCCGTCGTGCATTCCGGTGGCGAGAGCCAGAGACTTCCGTCATATCCTATTCCTGAAGCTAGTAGTCCGCCCCGTCGAGGCCGCGCACCACGTTAGCGTGGCCGAAGATCAAGTCGGCCGACGTGGACTTGTGCAGGCGGGGCCGGCGCCGGTGGACGCCGCGCCCCGCAGCGGAAAAAAGTCGCTCGTTGGCGGCGCTGCTCGGCGGGACGCCGAGCACCCACATCGCCACCGTCGCCAAGAAGGGCAGGTCCTTCCGGTGCGACCTCCACCACTGAAGCGGGCACGCCTGCACGTCCTGCTGCGCCGGGACGTCCTGCCACCGGGCGAGCTCGGCCTCGACCTCCGCCCGCGGGTCCACGTCCGCGGCGTGCTGCAGCTCGCGGTGGGGGCGGTTCTCGGCGCCGAACATGAACTCATTCATCTCGTTCACGATAGTCATGTGGCGGGCGCTCCTCCTGAGCGGCGACGCCGCAGAGGCGCGCGGGCTCGCGGCAGCGACGGCCGCCGCCGCCGCCCCGGCGCCCACAGGGGGGGTGCCTGGCTGCGCGGCGCCAGCAGGCCCAGCGCCCGGCGCAGAGCCGGCGGGAAAGTACAACGACCCCGTCGCCCGCCGCTTGGCCTTCGCGCGGCCGCGAAGGCCGCGGCCGCGGCCGCGGCCGGCGGCGCCCGCGTTGGCCAAGGCGAAGAGGGAGATGTCGGCGGCGCCCGCTGCCGAGAAGGACTCGATCAGCCCCTTGTGGGTCTCGGCAGCCTTCGCCGCCCACTCGCAAATCTCGGACCGGGCTGCATCACGAAGGCTCTTCTGCATCGTCAAGCAGGGGGGGCTCTTGAACCGGATGTCGAGGAAGGTGGCCATGGCGCACAGCTTTTCGGACCCAGCCACCGCCAGGTGCTTCTCCTGGACCTTCTGCACGTCGTCGTGATAGAACGCGGCCAGCCGCCTCGCTGTATCGCAAAGGCGTGCCTTGGGGATCTTCTGGCCGCACTTCTCACGGAGTTCCTCGGGCACGGAGAAATGGGAGCTCTTGCGGCTGTCGTGCGCGGCACGGACCTGATGCACCGCAGGAAGGTACCGCGACAACGTGGCCTTCTCCCCGTCCGCCTCCAAAAAGCGGGTGGCCTTCAGCATCGGATTCATGACGGCGACGAGGTGCGCCGCCTCCCGCACCTCATCCTCGGAGAACGCTGCTGGGTACGTCCTGGCCCCGCCAGATCGCAAGCCGACAGTGACGTTGTGGGCCTTAGCGTTGCGGACCAGGCCGCACCACGCATTGCGCGTGGCCGACCACCTTGTCTCGCACTCCTGGCGCCACGACACGGTGGCCACCGGAGGCTTCTGCTGCTGGGCGTCCGCCTCCATGTCGTGCACGGCGTCGGGGTTGTGTTTGTACCAGCGGATCACCGATCTGAACCGCTTGCACAGCCTCTGCATCTCATCCTGGATGGCGGCGATCGCCGGGTCCACCTGGCGCTTGGGCGCCGCCGCCGCCGCTGCCGCCACTGCCGGGCCGGTGCCCGCCGCCGGGGCGGGCGGCGCCGCCGGTGCCGGTGGCGCCGCGGGCGGGGCGGCCGCAGACCCGCCGGTGCCACGTGGCGCCGGCGGGACCGAGTCCGAGCTGCTGGAGGACGAGCTGCTGGAGGACGAGCTGCTGGACACCGCCGCCGGGGGCGCGCCTGGTGCCGCTGGGGGCACGGCGGGCTTCTGGCCCAGCGCCTGGCTGACGAGCAAGTCGCCCCGGCCCGTCTGCGCCGACGCTGCCATCGGGGCCTGCCCCTTCGCCGCCGCCGCCGCCTTCTTAGCCGGCTGCATCGCCGCCGGCTTCGAGGCCTGCCCCTTCGCCGCCGGCTTCGCCGCAGGCCCAGCGGGCCTCCTGGTCCGGCGGGCCCGCTTGCGCTCCCGCGCGGGCGGGAGGGAATGTTTCACGGCCAATTGAACGAAATGGCAGGCACATCCAACGATGTTCACTGGCACCTCCTGTAGACCCGCGCGGACCGCGCTTTCGTGGTCCGAGACGCCCGCCACGACGTCGGCGGCCTCGAGCCCGGCATCCGTGAGGCAGGCCCGGACGAGAGCAGCGTACGCCGCGCCGTCCCGCACGCCCAACATGGGCCGGACGCCAATGCACAGGCTGTGCCTCTCGAAGTTCGTGTCGCAGTACTCCAGCAAGACGGCGCCATAGTGAACAGGAGTAAAAGACTTAGTCTTCCAGGCGTCGACGGACAGAGCGAACCTGCACCCGTCCTCCTTCGCCTGCCGCACATGGTCCGCGACCTGGGCGCGGATGGCCAAGATGCGCCGGCGCAGGACAGATCGCTGCACCTTCTGGCCCCCCAGGCCCCGCAGCGCCGCAATGTGCTGCCTCACGGCCTCGCCCAGACGCAAGGGGGCCATTTCCTTCAAAACCACCGACAGCACCCATTGCTCTGTCAGCTCGTTGTCAACAAGAACAGGCGCCGTGCTGATGCCGGCGCTGGCCAAGAAAGCCGGCCGGTCGATGTCGCCAGCTTTCGCGTGTGTTTTGATGTGGTTCCTCATGGCCGCTGTGCTTCCGTCCTCCGCCCTGACGCATCCCGGGAAGACGGCACTCGGCAGCCAGCTGTTCTGGATCACCAAGGCCACCTGGTCGGGGGTCGGCTGCTCGTCCTCGTAGCATAGCTTGCAGAATCGGTAATCCCCGCAGTGGCCTCGCTTAGGCCAAAAATAATCGTGTACGGCGGCGCGGGCGCGCGGCGCCATGTGAATTAAGCGCAAATCGATTTTGCGCAAACCGATTGAGCCAAGAAGCTGATGATGATGATGATGATGACGATGATGATGATGATGATGATGATGATGATGATGATGATGATGATGATGATGATGATGATGATGATGATGACGATGATGACGATGCCGCTGATGATGAAGATGACGGCATGGCGCGGGGGAGATGGTAGTCAGGGAACTTAATGCTCGGGTTCTGGACGATCCCACACCAAATAACAAGAGGAGGCGGGGACCAGACTTCAACCTTGAACGCCCGGGGGCGCCCGCCTTCAGCCTTGAACGCCCAGAAGGGAGGGGGGGAGGCGAGCTGGGCAGACCGAGGGTGGGCGGGCCCCTTTGGCGGCCCCCCCGCGCGAGGGCAGGGGGCCGCCTCCGGGGTGCCCGGGTCCGTGACGGACCACCCCACCAGCAGTCGGCCGCCAGCCCCCCCACCGGCCCAAGAGAGCCCCCGGAGGAGCCCAGGAGACCCCCCCCCCCCGGTGCCGGCACCCCCCCCCCGGTGCCGGCACCCCCCCCCCCGGTGCCGGCCCCCCCCCCCGGTGCCGGCCCCCCCCCCCCCTGGTGCCGCACAACCCCCCCCCCCCCCCCCCGGCACCTGGTGCCGGCCCCCCCCCCCCCGGTGCCGGCACCCCCCCCCCGGTGCCGGCACCCCCCCCCCGGTGCCGGCACCCCCCCCCCCGGTGCCGGCCCCCACCCCCCCGGTGCCGGCACCACCCCCCCCCCCGGCCCCCCCCCCCCGGCACCCTCCGGCCGAAAACCGGCCCCCCCAAAACCGGACCGTCCCGCGACCGCCGAACCGAACCGGCATAACCGACCCGGACTGGCAAAACCGGACCGACCAAAACCGGACCCCGCGCCGAAATCGAACCGCTGCAACCGAACCGGTCCGCCGCCAAACCGACCCGAACCGGCCCGAACCGGACACTTCCTGGGAGAGGGTCGTTGGGCAGTGCACTCCGTGTAGTCAAAGGGCTCCCACTTGTGGTTTTCGCACAAGCCGCCACCATGCTCGCAGTATGGATCCTTTCATCATACTTCTCCCTCGTCATGAGCCCCGAAATCAAGCAATCTCTCTCTCTCTTTCTCTCTCTCTCTCTCTCTCTCTGGAAAATCACAAAATTGAAAAGCGTGGTATACATGATCATGATGATCACAAGCGTGGTGTACATGATCTCGCGGATCAACAGCCTGCCGATCTTCAGAACCCACCCAGGCCCCAGGGTAGGTCTTCACATCGCAGGGCTCCCAGTCGAGGTACACAGACAGGTACCTCATTCCCAGCAAAATTCGTGACATCGTCACCGCCCACGCAGC